CCTGTGATTACCCCCAGCCAAAACCGACCTTCCTTTACCCCAATATGTTCAATACCGCCGCTGGGGGAAGGAGGAGGAGGGGGGAGGAGGATCAAGAAAAGGAGTAGGGGGGGGGGTGGAGAAAACCTGTCGATAGGGTTGTTGAGGAAAGGAGAAGGAATGAAGGTAAGAATAAGAGAAAGGAACGTAGGAAGGGGAACAAAGAGGAAGAATAAAAAAAGGAGGAGATAAAACAAAGGATAGAAGAGGAGATAAAAGAAAAAGAAAGTGGAGAAGTAAAGAGGTGGATTACAAGAAGAAGGGAAGTGAAACTCGTTACATCCAAGTAAGATAACTCCTGTAGTACCGGCAATGTCCGAATTCTCTAAAGATCAACAACATCCACCTGGCGCTCGTCTTCCCCCCTGTATCCCAGAACACGGAGACCATAAGTACACACATCCGCCTTGGGTAAACTTCGAATGATTGGATATATATATGTGAGATAGAGAAGACATAGGTGAAGGATGCTGTTGGGTGTGGTATGTTGTGATTCTGTATGAAGACAAGTGGAGGATGAACGCCTTTGATGGTGAGGGCTAGAGGGCCGACTTTCAAGGCTATAAGATAGGTGTGAGGTAGGGGTCGTGACACACCTTTACTAACACGCACGCTCAGGCCAGACTCGAAATGGTTACGAAATTACGGACAGACTGACGAACGGGCGGACGGACACACGGACAAGGACATTATGCTAACTGTCTTTAAGTGACCGTGTGAACTGTGATGATAGAAGGGATGACCTCAAGGTATTCTGTGAGTGTCACGTAAGTTGAAAGTGAATGGTGTGATGTCTGTCTCATCAGGGTCTGGAGTACGACACACACACACACACACACACACACACACACACACACACACACACACACACACACACACTCAAGAAGTTATCCAGGAAATAAATCTTCCTCCCCCATCCTGCTGAAAAATCCCAAGTGTAAATAACAGCGGTACTCCAACGTATTCCCTCACTAGTGTAGAATATTCCCAACTTCTTTGGTACACCGTCCAGTATCTAACCTAACCTGCACCAGCCTCCCACCACACATTACCTCAGTCTTACCTCAGTGTGTATTGTACTAACTCAGTGATATTAATGTAATCTACCCAAAGAACATTACGGAAAAAAGAGAAAATAAAATATATAAGATAAAAATATTTGCCGAAAAATTAATGTCTTCTTCTCTAGCAGCTACGATAAATTATAATATTGGATTAACAAATGTCACTGTTGGATCATTTTCAACGAAAGAAAAATTCCATCTTTTCTCCGAGTTAGAGCTGAGAGCCTCCAGGACCCAGAGGTACACAACAACACCATTTGCTCAGAGGGAGGGAGAAAAAAGTCTTTGAAGGCAGCAGCTGTGGGCACCAATACTCATCATATATTTCTTTATATCTTGACCTTTATCTCTTGGATGTAAACTGAGTCTATTTGAGGTCACGGCACTGTAGCTGAGATGTGTTATTGTCATCTCATCAACAAACAAACTTAATTATGGCACGAATTAGTCATATCTCACACACACACACATACACACACACTACCCAGGTGGCTAGTAATGTAAATATCTGCTCACATAGTCCAGGCTGGAAGGGCGCTGCGTCACAACAAGGAAATTACGGTGGGGATCAATTCGCGGCGACCCCACACAAATTCCTGGCCTGGCGCTTACGTCCTCAGAGGGGAAGATATAGTAGGTAGGGAGGGGAAGAGGAGGGTAGGGAGGGAAAGAAGGGTAGGGGAGGGGATAGGGAGGGAGAGGAGGAGTAGGGAGGGAGGAGGAGAATGGGGGAAGGGGAGGCAGGGAAGGAGAAATGGGAAAGAGACGGGAGGTGGGGAACAGGAGGTGGGAGGAAAGGGGAAGAAGGACAGGGGGAGGTGAGAGGAAGGTAGAGAAAGCGAAAGAAAGGGGAAAGAAAGGCATGGGAAGTGAGAGAAAGACGACAGGGGAAGGGAAGCAGATGGAGGAGGAGGAAGTAGAAAATGAGAGAGAGAGAGAGAGAGAGAGAGAGAGAGAGAGATATCGTAACTTAATTCCTATTTCACTGTAACTCTGTAGAGCCGAGGGTAATTAGCCAGACAGACAGTTTGCATCGTCGCCCACACATTCAAGCTGTCACGAACAGCTTAACACATGCAGAAAGTCAATTATAAATGAATTACAGTTGTACCTCGCTGGTCTGGCCGGAGGACACACTACCGCTGTAAATGTGTGTGTGTGTGTGTGTGTGTGTGTCCCGCCCACCACCAACCACCTCTCTCTCTCCCTTTACGCCAGTGAAATAGTCTAACAGCAAGCTTCTCATTGCGACATCAACTTTAATTGGCATTATACCGAAACGCATCAATACATCAGCTTCATCATATTAACAGTAACTTAAAACGAGTAATGTTAAACTTGAATCACACTACATAACAACGTTCAAGTCTCACCGTACTAATAACATCATAAATGCTTAAACATAATAACATTAAACTGACTTAACGTGAATAACATTACCCTGCACCACATTACATAAGATAATTAATACCTCACAACAACGACACAGAGGTAGAGAGGTCGCTGGTGGATGGAGCTTCAGGGTTAGGTTAGGTTAGTGTGGTGGAAGGGATGAGAAGCACCACAACCTCCACCTTCATCTACTTAATGCTCACAGTCGGAAAAAAACCCGGATTTAACGTACCCGGGACAACATAACAGATACCCGTGTTGGTACCGGGTCGTAGGGGTGACCTGGTGACATTACAGCTGGGTTAAATATCAAATAATAAGCTTTTAATAGTGACATTGTTATAATGATTGTCAGCTACAATCCTTCAGTGAGTTCTTCTGCACTAAGCAAATCCCGTATTCACCAAACTACTGGTGATCAGATACAGAGCTCAGGGTCACCACCTTCATCCCGTGTGACTTATCCCCTGGCGCACCGCGAGCACCAAGACAGGTTTACTTCAGTAAGGTCGCGTCCACATAATTTTTCCAATGGATTATCAACCATGTTTGCATTGTCCCAAAAAAAAATCTACCACTTGTACGTGATAGGGGGAAGAATGGCCTACGAATTTCACAAAGAAAACCTCTTTAGCTGGTCGTGGAGCTTATCCCATTCTGGCACTGAGCTACATTAGGGTAATTCTTCCATAATAACTATTTTCAGAGTTATGTTAGACAATCCTATATCACATTCATCAACCTCTCTATTGGCCGGAAGTTCAGCTGAGGCATGATCCCTGGCGTGCTCCCAGACACCTTAATGGGAAGGAAACCTCACCAACTTCGTTTTAATCTCTTCCTCAGCAAGGCTTCAAGGGTGTGTGACTTTGATCTCAAGGTGTTGAATCTATACAGTGAGGAGAGAGAGTCAGGTAATGATCAGAGCAGTGTGGCAGACAGTTTGGAGAGTAGAGTAGTTGTCTTAGTGTTGATCTGACTTCCTCCTCTAGTTGTCACATTTACGCTGAGTCACATCACCACTCCTCCTACAAGCTATGTTGAGAAGACCATCAGTGGTGGTGTTATCAGTCTGGAGGTTAATTACATTGTGTTAAGGACCAGTTAGCTGTTCAGGAGGGTAGCAGGTGGAGGGAAGACGTCGGGGGGAGGGGGGGGAAGACGTCGGAGGGAGACGTCGAAGTGAGGAGACGTCGAAGGGGGTGAGGGAGACGTCGAGGGGATGAGGAGAGTCGTGAGGAGACGTCGAGAGGGGTGTGGAGACGTCGAGAGGGTATGGAGACGTCGTGTTAGGGTAATTTACTCAAGTGAAATAAGCTGTGTAGGGGCTAATCTTCATGTGATTTTTTTTTTTTTTAAATTTTAGCCCCACAGTTGAGGTTGAGACTCGCTACCGGATTAAGGGGAGAACCCAGGAGAAGGACACCAGGAACACGAAGGATAAATTCTCTTCCTGAAGGTGCGGCAGTCAGCTGGGAATATTGTCTCTGCAGTGGCGACGATTTACCCTGTGATCCTGGGGCTAGGGTGGTTGCTGAGGAGCTGGGTGTGGGGTTGCTGGGTGGCTGGGAGGAAGGGAAAGGGGGAGGAGGAGAAAGAATGACAGGGAGAGATGAAGGTTGTGACGGAAGGACAGAGACGGAGAAGAAGAGAGAAATTACGGGGAAGGAAGGAAGGAAGGAAGGAAGGAAGGAAGGAAGGAATATGATAAGTAGAAAACAAGAATATAAGAGGAGAGAGAACCCGCCCCTCAAAAAGTAGATGATAAAGTTGAAATGAGAAACAGTAAAACAAAAACAAAAAGCAGTGGGTGGGATAAATCGATGGCTGCCTGAGGTACAGTACATGACGGTGTGGAGAGAGGAGAGGAGGGGGGTGGAGAGAGAGGGAGGGAGAGGGAGAAGAGAGGGGGAAGGGGAGGGAGCGGTACTCATTCATTCTAACACTGAGACCGCTTGTACAGCCTTCACTACAACAACTCATATAGTGTTGGTAATTAATCTGTCTATTATATTCATCAATTACTCACACATTTTAATAACTTAAACAACACGGAGAGACACCTAGGTTTATTTAACATGATTAAATACCTTGCCATTACCTGGGGGAGTTAGATTAGGTTTGGTTAGGTTAGGTTAGGTTAGGTTAGGTTAGGTTAGGTTAGGTTAGGTTAGGATAATTATCGGATGCTGTATCATCAAGAGAGCTGTAACACCCGAAAAGCTCAGCCATGTCAATATTTTTTTGGTTTCTCTTTGTTTTATTCGGACTAAATAAACTTCTATTACTAACTTAATATTCCAATGTCAAAGAGTTTCTCGTGTCCTGGGGAATGTTACAAGGTGGCTGGTTCACTCTCTCTAACACAGGGGGGACGTCACTCAGCGTCTTGAAGGATAATGTGACCCAATGATGGATCTTATACTTACTGATGAGACGAGAACGACAAACAACGATGTGGGAGACGAGGAAGATGACGAATGTGGCACAGAAAGACGGACTCACCTTCTTCAGGACGGGGACGGAGCGAAAGATGACCTGCTCATGGTCGTCCAGGACCCATGACCGTATCCTGCGGTACATGGCGGCGGTGGCAGGGGCTCCTCGCCTCACCACCTGCCCTAGGGTGTCGCCGCCCGTCTCAGCCACCCTCACGTACGGCCACACGCCTCGTACACAAATATTACGCCTCTAAAACCACGGGTGCGAATACTATTGTTTACACAGTGTATGTACGAATGTATAGAGAATATTCACATACATACATACATATATATATATATATATATATATATATATATATATATATATATATATATATATATATATATATATATATATATATATATATATATATATATATATATAGTGTGTGTGTGTGTGTGTGTGTGTGTAAAAATATGGTCTAACAACTAAACAATGTTGTGAACACGTGTACAATTACACTAAACAGTTTAATGAACATGTGAATACTGAACAGGATCCTGAACATGTTGTGACACGTCCAGTGTACACCGCCGGGCCGTGAACCAGGTGAGTCAAACACTATAACAGCTCCTGGTCACTAATGTGGCCAAGTTTCAGCTTCTCAGCTCACAAGATCTCTCCCGACAAACAGGCGAGATGAAAGATGAAAATAAACAGACGGAACAACCGGTGACTTCCCTCTACTCACGACTCACACGCCCAGTGTACACCACAACAATACCCATCGTGCACAAAGAAAGACAACGGACACAAACAAACACTGACCAACACGCAGAACCAGTAAACTACGAAAACACCAAGCACTAACCACAACACTGTCAAGCGGGTCAACTACACCAATATGACCATTACCAACACTGTACCACCACATACCTCCAACACTGTACACCACATTCATGTCGTGTCAACACACATCCGTCACGACACACGCCCACCACCACCACACCTCCGTCACGACACACCTGACGTAGCCACGATCACACACCAGAATGACACTTCTGAGAACGAACCACTGGTTAACAAACAAGTCATTCCATTACCGTCAATATCAGGCTTCACATAATAGTTACACAAACATACACATAACTTCTGAATGAAAATTTCCGTACACAGTGTAATGTAGAGTACGTGTAGGTTTCTAGCTTATGTAGGTGAGGTTGGAGGCGAAGGGAACGAGAGAGAAACCCACCGAAGTGAGGGAACGTGGAGCGGTCGTAGAACCACGTGTGTTCGCAACGAGTACCGGGCCAAGACTGATGCCTACACCCTGACTCAACCCTGGTGGTCCTGGTCCTCCTCTCCTCCCCCTCCCACCGCTTCACCACCAATACCTCCTCCTCTTCCTCCTCGTCCTCTTGTTACTACTGCGTCACCTCACGATCACTACTACTACTACTACTACTACTACTACTACATAAAAGTATTATCAAAAAGTCATCGTCATAACACACGTCATCTGGTACCCGGAGAGGAGCAGCAGTTCATTATAGCACCGTAAAAGAAATTCTTGATATATAATGAAAATATATAAAAAAAAACGTAAAGATAGGATATACACAAAACATTATATTAATCTCTAGTATTCATATAAGACGTGGTGGCTGAGTGGTTTCCGTTCTCGCCTTAGTGGTAGAAGTCCTAGTTCGAAGATCCATAGGAAAAGAGGTTATTTTGTTTTGTTTGGTTAGGTTAGGTTAGGTTAGGTTAGGTTAGGTTAGGTTAGGTTAGGCTAGGTTAGAAAAGAGATCCCAGCCGAGGTTACAGGCCAGAAGGTTGATCTTGAAGGAAGCCCAGCTGATGACCTGAGAGCTGTAGTGATGACCTGAGAGCTGTAGTGATGACCTGAGAGCTGTAGTGATGACCTGAGAGCTGTAGTGATGACCTGAGAGCTGTAGTGATGACCTGTAAGCTGTAGTGATGACCTGAGTGCTGTAGTGATGACCTGAGTGCTGTAGTGATGACCTCTTCTTGTTGACAGTGGGTGAATAAGTAACCACCACCACCACAGAACCACTCCCACCACCACAGTATTACTACCACCACTACCACAGTATTACTACCACCACTACCACCACCACAGTACCACCACTACCACATGTTGACTACCTCTCGTGTTTGTCATATGAACTATAATACCTCGTTGAATAAACATTAACGCGTCGTGTCGCTGGTGTAAACATGAACAGGATTTAGAATAGTGAGAAAAGATAAACCGGGGCAAAAACATGATAAAACACACACACACACACACACACACACACACACACACACACACACACACACACACACACACACACACACACACACACACACACACACACACACACACACACACACACACACACACACAACACACACACACACACACACACACACACACACACACACACACACACACACACACACACACACACACACACACACACACACACACACACACACACACCTCTCACACTAATCTATGTCATCCGGAGATTTAAAGAATAACCCAGAGAGACCGGACAGCTTACTTACTGCACTGGCATACTAAAACCCAAGGGAAAAGATGCAGTTATTGACACCACGTCCTGAGTTACTGCCAGGAGGAGATAGACCAATGGAACAATAATACAATTTCACGCGGGCTTTACTGATATCGAACGCCTGACCTCTAGTTTGTGAGATGATTGTCTTAACCACCACACCACGGGAAGCTCATCAATACTACTACCATGAGTGACACCATTACCACCATCATCATTATTAAAACTACCATAAGCAGCAATAGAAATCACCACCATTAATAAGAAAACCACCATCACCAACATCAACACTATCATCACCAACACCATCACCAACACTAGTCCTGAAGGCTGTCACCGTCAGGTTGGGTACAGTGCAGTGTAGTGTAGTGTAGTGTAGTGTATAAGTCTTTGTTTAAACTGGTGGAAGAACACCATACAAAAATACCTTAACTGGTGAAGAAAAAATTCTTAAACTGGTGAAAATAATAAAAAATACCCAAATTGATTTAAATAAAAAATACCCAAATTGGTGAAAATAATAAAACTTAACTGGTGAAAATATAAAAAAATACTGGTGAAAATAATAATAAAAAATACCCAAATTGGTGAAAATAATAAAACTTAACTGGTGAAAATAAGAAAAATCCCTAAAATGATAAAATTATGAAGAAAAAAAAATACTCAAAACTGGTGATTCCCCCCAAAATAAAAATGCCCCAAACTATATTATTACTACAAGGTGTGAGTGAACTCTGACCCTTGTAAAATTACCCCACAAGAAGAAAAACACATTTCAAACATGTTTTTTCACTGCAGGTATTGGTGTCGACGTGTTGTGATCCTGTCTGGTCATAATATGTGGGGCGACGGGGTCAAAATACATCTCTAACCTTTGACCTGTTTTGACTAATATATTGTCTGGGTGTTTGTCTCAGCCGTAAACATGGATGGGACACACACACACACACTACACACACACACACACACACACACACACACACACACACACACACACACACACACACCATCCCCCCCCTTCCCCTTTCTTCAACAATACTCGATGACGACATGTGTGATGTATCCAGCTATGACGAATAATAACTATGACGTCTAAAAACATACGTCACGGTCCGAACTACAAATCATTGATATTAGTGGACAACAAATGTCTATGTTAATATATATGCAAGCTTGTCAATGTTATGGTAGTCACACACTAATACCTGGTGAAGATTAATCCATGGAACATTACATGTCAAATACTGGTTTAATGTGCAATTTCTGGGTGACCTTGACCTCTGACCTTACGACCTCATAGAACCCAGAGGCTCCTGTCAGTCAAGCATGTAGTAGACAGACAGACAGACAGACAGACAGACAGACTAGGCCCTTTGTTAAACACTAATGACAAACATCTAGTTTACAGGTATAAACAAAAGACCGTCCAAGTTGAAGCCCCAAACAGCCGAAGTGTAAACCACCTTGAGAATACCCCCACACACACACACACACACCTATATTAGGTCTAAAGAAATACAGCATAAGTGGTTTATTCACGCCTTCCTCACCCCCGACCCCGCCTCCCTCCCCGACCCCGCCCTCCCTCACCCCCTGACCGCCCTGCCCCCCCCCCGACCCCGCCCTCCCTCACCCTTGCAACACTCACCCGCCGCTGCATCCTCACCCAGGCCTAAAAATTGCAATCCTCTATGCTGAATATTTTTACCAAATCCAACGAACAAATGTCAAAAGTTTGGAAGCTGTGAAGACCTGAAATAAACCACAACAAACATTTTTAGTTCCAGGGAATTTTCTATACTGACCCCTGACCCTTGATACTGACCCGTGACCCTTGATACTGACCCCTGACCCTTGATACTGATCCCTGACCCTTGATACTGACCCCTGACCTTTGATACTGATCCCTAACCCTTAATACTGAGCCCTGACCCTTGATACCGACTCCTGACCCTTGATACTGACCCCTGACCTTTGATACCGACTCCTGACCCTTGATACTGACCCCTGACCTTTGATATTGACTCCTGACCCTTGATACTGACCCCTGACCTTTGATATTGACTCCTGACCCTTGATACTGACCCCTGACCTTTGATACTGACCCCTGACCTTTAATACTGACCCCTGACCCAGTGCTGACCCTGACCTTGATGCTGATCCCTGACCCTTGATACTGATCCCTGACCCTTGATACTGACCCCTGACCTTGATACTGATCCCTGACCCTTGATACTGATCCTGACCCTTGATGCTGTCCCTAGACCTTGATACTGACCCTGATACTGACTGACCTTTGATACGACCCCTGACCCTTGATACTGACCCTGACCTTTGATACTGATCCTTAACCCCATATGCTGAGCCTGACCCATGATACCGACTCCTGACCCCAGTGACTGTTGCTGATACCGACTCCTGACCCTTGATACTGACCCTGACCTTTGATATTGACTCTGACCTTTGATATTGACTCCTGACCCTTGATGCTGACCCTGACTGCGATACTGACGCTGTGACCTTTAATACTGACACAGGGAAAGGGAAGGAGGAGGAGGAATAGTGGCATGAAACACTAGTGAGAGGGGGCGATAAGCAAAGCAACACATTACCGTCAGTTAGGCACTGAGGCCAGGTGGTGAGGCTGGAGGTATAGTGTGTGAGGGCCAGGGTGGTGAGGCTGGAGGTATAGTGTGAGAGGCCAGGTGGTGAGGCTGGAGGTCAGGTGTGTGAGGCCAGGTGGTGAGGCTGGAGGTATAGTGTGAGGCTATGTGGTGGTGGTATCGGGACGGTATAAAGGTGGTATCGGGACGGTATTAAGGTGGTATCGGGATGGTATCATTATCAAACGTAACAACCATAGACACCACCACTTAACCTACACAACAATATAGTAAAAGTGACGCATAGTTACGCAAAAATACTGACGCAAAAAAAATGACAAAACTGACTGACGCAAAAAGTTACACAAAAATACTAACGCAGTGAGACCCAGATTCTTGAGGCCCTCCAGCAGGAAGCGGAGGATCAATGCTAATGTTATCGCTAGAGGGCCTTAGGGTATTATAGATCAAGGGCCTCAGGGATCATTAGGCAAAATATCACAGTCAGTGCCGCTTGTTACCTGAGGCAGTGGAAGGTGAGTTATCATACGTATATCATTCCTTGTATATCATTCCTTGTATATCATTCCTTGTGTATCATTCCTTGTGTATCATTCCTTGTGTATCATTCCTTGTATATCATTCCTTGTGTATCATTCCTTGTGTATCATTCCTTGTTATCATTCCTTGTATATCATTCCTTGTATATCATTCCTGTATATCGTTCCTTGTGTATCATTCCTTGTATATCATTCCTTATGATTCCTTGTGTATCATTCTTGTGTATTTCTGTATATCATTCTTATATTTCCTGTATTCATTGTTGTTTATATAATTATTGATATTTTCTATTTCAGTTATTTTTTATATGAATTTTATATCAATGACTTCATGAGGTGGAATGGTGATTTTATTTTGCTTTTGGTGTGTTAATAGCGTGTCAACCAGCGTGTAATATGCTCCCGTGGGCGTGACGACGAGTGGTGTGGGTGGGCGGTGAGAAGGCCGCCCACACCTGCGTGATAACGCACCTGGGAATCAGTAAACATCACCGCCATTTATCAGGTAACGTGTGGTGAGTGACGTGTGACATTTTCTCACATAGGTCACACCTGTCCGACTACCCTCCCTAATTAAGCTG